TATTGTTTGTCAAAAGTTATTCGGCAGTAAATTAGAATTACACAAATTATGTTTAGATGAGTTGCAATGGCACATTTTGCCGTTTTGCTTTCAAAATTTCATGTGAACTCAGCTGTGAAACCGAGCAAGCACAGAAGAAGAATAAAAATCAAGCCAAAGTTTGCTGTTGGTTACCATATATTATCTGTATGAATGAAAAATGATTTTTTAGAGAGAGAGAGAAAGACACCGCTGCCGTCGCACGTTTGAAGTTTCGCTGAAATGTAGAAAAGTCACACGGAGCAAACACTTATATACACAGTGGAATAAGAGCAGAGCAACGAGAGCTCGAGCACAGGTAAAACGACACCTAAAGAGGCACAAATATTAAACTTTTGATTTACAATTTTTTTTTTCATAAATACTACATTTTAATGTTCAGTCAGAAAATGATAGAAAAACTACCCGCGACCAAAGACATTTTAAATATGTACATACGTACTCTCCTCCATGCTGTAATATGCCATTTTGAATATTATTTAATAAATTGAATAGACTAAAAGTCGTCGTATACCATCGAATGAACATTCAATTGAATGGTATGCCGTAACTTCATCACTGTTTCGAACAAGAAAAAAAATATTTATGCATAAATGCCGCAAGCAATACACATATTTTTTGCGCGAAATACTTCACATTACCATGAACTAAAAGTTGCACTTCTGTCGCTGAATACGATTGATTATTATTATCTTTACATTTTAAGCGCAATTTTATTTGTTGTTGTTTTTGCGTGATACTTTAGAATTGCAAGATGAATAGGAGAAGAAAAAAGGCAGCATCGAAACAAACAATTAAAATTTAAAAAAAACACAAAAGTGATTACATTCAAGCAAGAAATGTCATTCTATCCAGTGCAAACTCTGAAAAAATTGATGACCGGGGACATTTTTACGTCGAAAACTCCTGAACAATCGAAAGAAGAGATCTTCAACTGCAGAGGGAGTAACACATCGCCAGGAGTAATTAATTCGATCCCTCGGACCCCTGGTCATAAACGAGATCGCGAAATTCAGAGTACTGAGTCGGTCATAAAGTATTTCCATAACGAAATGGGAGAAGGATCGAGTATATTGTATAAAAATCTAAAAATATAAAAGTCCATATCTAAACAATAAGTATCAGTTGATCTGAAGCTATCTCTCTCATTAACCATTTCAATAAAAGGTATTTCTTTTAATTTGGCGTGAAACTAGATGAAGATCAGATATTCACCGGAAAATTAGGTAAATTTTGAATTTAATTTCCATTTTGAATGCAAACAAAAAAAGCCGTTTCAATTCGTTTGTATCGGTTGTGCCAATTATGATTTACCAGTTATGCCCATTTAGTCGTATTTAATTTGTGTATATGTATACAAAACTCTTTCACCATGGCAGCATGAAATTCAAGCCATCCGATTTAAATAGAGTACTTAAAGTGTATAATCGAAAAAATTTCATAAAGACTAACTAACAACAAATCGAAATAATAAAAAAAAACCATCGAGGCAACCTTACAAAAGAACATTTTCATACGATGCTCCATACACAATAAATGGAATGAACACACAAGCACAGCACGTAAAATGTTCTTTGCGTATTGTTGTTGTTGGTGTTGCTATTGTGACTCCTCTCTCTCTCTCTCCCTCTCCTTTTTTCTCTTATGAATTTATAATGCTCGTAATAACATATTGTTGTGGGTATTGTTTATTATTATGATGCCTTAACAAGATTACAATCTCTCTTGTCGTACTTATGGCTGTGGTGTTATTATTGCACACTTTTGTGTGTTGAATGTGCGGAATCTTTTTTGGTCTCTTCGGTATTCATTCGTCTTGAACTATCTATGTACGTTTGAATCTCAGTGTAATTGGTTAGCTGCTTGCTTCATATGGCCGGTTAGCAAATCACCGAACATAAATGTTCGAGCGAATGAAACAAAAAAAAACATGAATAAAAATTTTGGTGTATTTCAAACGTTCCGACGTTTCGGCTATCCAACCAACCTCTAAACTGTAGATGAAGAGGAATACAGAGAAAGAGCGTAAAAAGGGAGCACAAGAAATCCCCAACATATTGTGGTCTCTTTACACCGACAAATAAATTGGCGAACAGTGGCACACAAATAAATGCAATACAAATTGTGCATTTTCTGCATCCATTTCATTTACTGGCGACAAATTATGCCATTACAACGATTTTTACGACGATTGTCAAGAGAGTAATAGAGTGAACCTTCATGTGGATGTGTCACTATATAATCGTTCTATTTCATTTTATTTAGAGCACATAAATCCGACTTTACGCTGAAACATTAAAATGATATTTATGAAATGTCTTATATTCAATTTCGAGCCCCTTTCTTTTCAAATAGAACGTTTTCTTTGGCGATATATTTTCCTTTATTGTTTTTTTTTCTTTTATTCAATTTGAATTCCAGTCAATTCTATTTGATAGACATCGGGCTTTTAATGTCAACAACTTTGTTGTATACGTTGATAGCTCTTTTGCTGCTGCAAACTGAAAATGTCATATTACACATTAAACATTAACGTAATTATGTCAGGTTTGATGATACGTTCTTTAAATTCTTTGTTGGCAGAGCAATTATTCGAAATGAAAAAGCACATAAAAATGTAGTGAATGATAGTTGGAAGCGAGCACATGCTATGTCAGTGATATGACGATGATATACATCTATGGGCTATATAATCAAGTGAAATGAAAGAAAATACAAATTACACACGATACATCTAGAAAATTCAATATAAAATTATTCAAGAGATCTCATCATTTAATAACGCAAATTAAACAAGTTGACTCGCATTGAAAATAATGAAATAGACAAAGTGAAGGCTTCAATAGATGGAATGATTTTCTACTACTGTTTAGAGAAATGTTAAGTAAAATCAATAATAATCAACAAATAGTTTTTTTTTTCTATCTGAAGTACTAACCTGAAAAAAACACGATTTCGAATACAAACAAATGAATTACGATATTGATTACGTTCCGACGGCATTCGATTTACAGAAGCCAAATTTCATTGTCCGACACAAAAAAATATATATACAATTTCATTGACCGTGACTCAGAAACGCCAAAAATTCATTTAACTTTTGACGCATTAATTGCACTTGTACATGAAACAAGGTTATCTTAGATCATTTGGACAAAATATATAAATCCCCACGTATACCATGCGTAAATGAAGGGAAAATATTTACATTACTTTCCTCAATTCAGGCTCGCAATTCACGTTGATCAAATTGTTTAATTACAATTTATTCAAAGTAGCTCCAATTCATATACGTGTTTCGTTTAAATGAATTTTTTCTTTTTCCAAAAATAAACAGGTAGTAGTGATGGTTAGCCGATAAAGTCAAAGTTAACGGGAAAAAATGGCATTGTTTTCTAAACTATTTATTATTTGGGAAATTTGAACACGTATTTCATCTTTCATCTGAAAAATGAGTGAAATTTCTTGGCACTCAAATTGATTGATTGATTAGAATTCTAAAATATTTGAAAATCATATTGGAATTTAATACGATAGATTTGTTGTTCATTCGATATTGCTCTAATTTAATGATTCAAAGCATGACGCTTCACATTTTCCATGTTTCAGTTACAAATTTTCTTTTAATTGGAAATGAAAACATCACAAACCAGCTACTTTACCACTTTGAAAATGTCTATTCGTTGTAAAATGGAATTAAAATATTCTTGAAGAATCTTTTTTTTTTATCTAGCTCAACATGGTATCTCAATGAAAATGCTCGAATCTGATTGAAATATAGAAACTATGTTTACAAAATAAATTTATCGTATCGCATCAGCGATAATAAATGAATGTGAAATTAGGCATAATTGAATTTTATAAGCGAAATGAAAACAGCAAATAAAAAATACTAACAAGCTATCGAATGAATTGCGGAAAAGCAACATAAATATTTGAAAATACTACACACCAATCGAAATGTGAACGAATGAGTTTGAAGAGCGACAACAAACAGCAACAATTTAGCCGATTGTATGTGTGTGGAAAAATCAAATCGCCTCTCCAGATTCGGATTAAGACGAACCCACTTTTCGTCTGATGATGGCCAACGTGTAAAAAAGCGAGCGCAATCAAAAACGCTAACAATAATTTATTTTCCTAAATATTGATTTTCGCTTTAATGCTGTTTCCTTTCCATTCGCATCGTACCGTCCATACCGTTTCGCGTACATTTTTCGTCTACAGCGGTTGGAATGAAGAGAAATCGTCTAACATTTTATATAAACAATATTGTGGTTTTGCCGGATTTTGTTGAAGGTTTGATGTAATATACATGTAAACAAAACTTTAACCTGTTTGTGTAATCAAATGACTATGTAAACGTATCGTACGCTGTATAAGCACCACCACAAACAGTTTGTTTAATTCGTTAGCCAATGACAACGAAGCCATTTCCAACACATTGTGTCAAAGCTCCTCCCTACAAAACAAACGCCACAAAAACCGTTCGAATGTTGGAACGACCAGCTTTTCTTGTGCGCGTACAATAAATTCTCTTGGTAATGTGTATGTTGTTCGTGTTTTTTTTTATTTTCTGTTCGTCCGGTTCGATCCAATTGCAACGTGTGTTTTCAACATGGAAATGGAAGAAGCGAAAAGAGAGAATTAAACAAAAAAGCAGCAAAAAATACACAACACACTGCACGAACGATACATACTGGTTACGTATATACGAATATATGGATATAAACAAACAAGTAAACGGCAGAACAGCACATAACAAACACACATATACAACAACCAAGTCCCGGACTGAACCATACTCTATAACAAATACTCGCACATCGGAATACAAACACACAACCAGAATAAGCGCACACATGCACGCCTTGTTTATCAAAAACGTAAAGCAGATATAATTTGGATTTCAACACCTCTGCTGTGCGGTGTTTACAGGAGAACTAGTCTATAACAAACAATTGAAGTGTCGATGCGTCTTTTTGTGTTGTGTGCTTAAAACTGTTTTTGTCGTCGCAAGTCGAGAAAAGTCGGACAGGAAAATAAAAATCAATCTCACAACCAAACAGAATCATTTCGGCAATTGCACTAGACGCAACTTAATCGAAAAAAAATTGATAAAGTGATTTTATTGAATTTTATTTGCATTTGAACATAAACGGACAACAAATTTAAAGGATTATTTCAAAGTGAACAACTGACTATAAACAACGAAACGAGTGCTATTTTTTATTGGTGAAATTTTAAATTGCACATGCAATTAAATGTAAAAAAATATGAAAAGTTAAAGAATCACAGCAAAATTGTTTAAAAGAAATTTATTGAAAAAGAAAAAAATATTCGCAATTTTTACAAAAAATAAATAAATAAAAGAATTGAAAAAACAAAATGCCACGACCATCACGTGAATCGTATGGTGATCAAAAGCCACCATATTCATATATTTCGCTGACAGCGATGGCGATTTGGAGTTCATCGGAAAAAATGTTACCGCTTAATGAAATCTATCGTTTTATCACCGATCGTTTTCCATACTATCGCAAAAATACACAACGATGGCAAAACTCCTTGCGACACAATCTCAGTTTCAATGATTGTTTTATAAAAGTACCGCGTCGTCCGGATCGACCGGGAAAAGGTGCATATTGGGCACTTCATCCGCAAGCATTCGATATGTTTGAAAATGGTAGTCTATTGCGACGAAGAAAGCGTTTTAAATTGCATAAAACGCAAAAGGACATTTTAAACGATGAATTAGCTGCTTTGGCCAATATAAATCGTTTCTTCTTTCAACCATCATCCGATCAAATGATGCCAATGGATGATCGTACAGACATTACGCCCGACATAATATCAGCTCAAACTTCACCAAGTATTGCATCACCAAAGCGACCATTAACACCAGAATCACCGCCAATCATCATCTCAGACACCATCACAACGACACATTCGCCTGCCAAAACGCATACGGCAAAGTCACGACCAAAACGTGCATTTACAATTGAATCACTTATAACACCCGATAAAAAAGCGGATAAAATCCGTAAAACTAGTGGCAATACAAATCTAACAAATACACATGAAATACGCTCACATCAACAAAATCATCATCATCACACATTGAGCCAACGCCAAAATTCAATTCGAACAGTCCCAACGAGATTACCGCCAATCAATCAAGCATTACCATTACCATCATCGATGCATTCACCACATTGTCATCCACATTTGCAGCAACAACAACAAATACATGCTCACCACTTAGATTTGCCAAAGGATATTGCCAGAAATGGATCGGTCGGCGGTTTACCATTTTTACCATATCCACCGCATTCAATGGGTTTCGATTTATCGCCGGCCGCCGTATATCCATTGCTCATGATGAATCAGGCTGCATTGTCTGGACTCCAACCATCCGCCGCATATTTCAACCAAAGCATGATGCATCACACCCTTAGCTTACATCAACAGCATCATTTAAATCCAAACCATCCGGAATCACCGATATCCAATCCACTGACGACTTTGCTAGAAATGTGATATTAGATTGTGTCGTAAACAAATTTATATATATAGATGTATAATTATAGTACTATTATGATAAATTAACTAAAGATACTTAAACGTTCGCTTCCAAATGGAATGCGAAGTGATCCGATATATGGCAATTTTATGAGGCACTTAATTGATAAATATGGATTTTATTAAATATTTCCCGCTTCAATATAATTATATACTGACAAACTAATTTTGTATAGTCGATATGTGGTCCTCAATTCTGTACTGTAAACACACAAAAAACTTGTTCCGATGAATTCTGACACATGATAACCCACCCAATTTGTGTGTTTAATTCAATAGCTGCATATGTCGGAAGTTAAATCATTCGCTCTTTTTTCATAGTGTCAATTTTGTTTTTTGTTTTTTTTTTTTTTGAAAAAGAGAAAAAAATTGTAATTTTATTATTTATTTAATATCAATGGAAGAAGTGAGAAAACACACATTCAGGAATGCTATTTTTAAAATCGATTAAGTTAGATCTTCAATAATTAAATAAATGAATTGAAAGAAAAATGAAAAATTCAAAAGGTAACAAATCCCAGTGTTTAAGCAAACCATGCTTTGTGAATGTAAATAGTTTGTAAAATCGATTGAATTTTATCTATGCGACTATTAAGATGATGATGAAAACAAACGGCAATAGTAAGGAAAAGCAGGACAAAATTATGTAATACTAGCTTAGATTGGTATTTAGGAAGAAAAAAAACTGAAATGATGATGTGTAAATTGAATAACAATTGTGTCTAATTTAGAAAATTAAAACACTTGAATGTTTTGAAATAGATTATTTAAATGTTTAATCACTCTTTAAATAAGCTCACTTAACGGTGAAAGAAGCAAAGCAAAACAATATGAGATTATTATAACAATAATAAGAGTAGTGGTTTGTGAATGATAATGCATAAGTAGAGTCTATTATATTCGAATCATTTAACGAAATTTCAACAAAAAAAAATCTATACCAATTGAGAAAAGAGAAAGAAACCAACAACAATAAAAAAGTAACGAAATAAAAAAATTCAATAAATGTTCATGAAATGTATCCATTGGATACAAATTTAAAGCAAAAAATAACTTCATTCTTTTGTATTACATATCTTTTTGATCGACATTTTCCCACTGAATACTGTTTGTATTGTCTTCGTTTGATTTTTTATTCTGGGCTGCTGTAAATGTTTATACCTCTGTAAAAACATACCGATAATTGAACAAATTAAACAAACACATCGAACAAACGAGAAGAAAGAGAGCATTACTTGATGGAATAGAAGCCTCTTTCTTTTGGTCAAAATGACAGAGCGCAAAGATCGGTTTTGTGCTTTGTTTTCGGGTCGGCACTTGAAAGTCTGATACAATCCCATCACACAATGTACGACGGACTATGCTATTGTGTACAGTGTGAAATTTGAAAAGATTTCATGCATGATGAAGCGATTTCACACAGACAGAACGAAAATCGCTTCGATAAATTCTTCGGCTTCTTTTTTACCGGCATTATATATGAATCTTGGAATTGCTTATTGACTTATACATTACCAATCATATTAATGGCTATTTGGATCACATGGTTTTAAGTGGCCTGGAATTTTGTTCTGATACACTTGTCATGGCGTGCATTGTTCTTGAAACTATTCTATTTTTCTCTTTTCTTTTGGTCTTCGTGACAATTTCACACTCTATACGATGCCAATTGCAGAGACAAGTATTTAAACCAATTGTTCAAATCGATGTAATGACTTGGAAAATCTCAATTTGTGAAGCAGTAATCTCGTAAATGTTTCTTTGTTAAATATCAATTCCTGTTAAACACAGTCTCTCTCTCTCACTTTTCCAGTTCCACCGATTGAAATCAAATTCGATACATACACATTCGATTGGCTTTCGGCACAGAGAAAAACAAATCATACGAACACTTCTTTTCCCGTTTTCATTTACATTTTGAATTATTGGACAAAATTGCTCAATTTTCGCCTATTTACTTCAGCCACCATCTATCTATAGTACATGAGATGTTGATTATTGTATTGAATATGAGAAAAGTGTCTATTTATACAAAGCAAAACAAAATCATTAAATTACCATATATTGCACATAATATTTACCTTAGAGCATGAACCATGTCGAAGCGCGTAAAAATGGCAACGCGCTCACACATGAATGTATATGACATGAGTTCCCATGCTAGCTGAGATCCACTAGCTACCGGATTGTTTAAACCGAATATTGAATGCTGAAATTGCACATTTATTTAGCAACAACAACAAAAATGAAATGAAAAATGCATCTAATGCGGTGTGTATGTTTGAAATGACGGTGCATTCTACGCTCAAAGCGTATTAAATCTTTGAAAATCAGGTAATTTCATTCGGGTTTTCTTTGTTAAGTGAATTATGTAAAGTAAAACTGCTTAAAGTGTTAAATTGAGTAGGCCGATTAATCACCGTGAGGGTTTTTAATTAATGTGGGTTTTCTTATATTTTATTTACATAAAACATTTCTTGTATTCAATTTTTATATCCACTTGTAAAATTCAGCATATTGCCCATATAACAAAAAAAATAGCGATAAAGTGGTTTTAATTTGCTATGATTAGTTTAGATTCGTTAGCTTATGGAACGTGTATTTTGCATGTGTGGGTGTCAGTTGATTTTATTTGATGTAAAAACTGGCACCTGCACACATTTATCGGCCAAACGAAAATCGATTTGTAATATTGCACACATACACAAAATAAATAAATGCTCGGTTTCATTGATCGAACTAATTAATTTTCCGAAGTAGTCGTTAATAACTGATTAACGAGAACACAAAAATCCTCCACATTAAATAAATTGCACGGATTTAATGAAGTGTTTCGGGTCGAGTCTTTGAAAATTTGAAAGAAAAAATGCCGCATGCAAATAACAACAAAACAACAATTACAAAGCAAATTATGTGTGCATCCAAAGCAAGCACCACGATTTTCTTAAGATAAAATTAACGAATTTCCGAACAGAAAAAAATTTATGAGACAATTCAAAATGGTCATTAAAAAAAAGGTTAGCGGCTGCCTTTTCCACTTTGAATTATATCGACTTTTCTTATTTACGATGAAAATCTTATATGGCGGCTGTATTCGGAACATCTAGTGGATATTTCTCGAAGTGTTGATTTCGAATGTGAACATTTCAATAGCTGCTGGCATCGCCAAACCGAACCATTTTCAGTTAGGTGTTTTCATTTTGTTGCGGTCGCAATTGCCGCCGACATAGCCACTTTCCACTCCAATTGAATTGCATGCAACTCGCGAGCTTTCTTCATTACCGATTTTATTTACTATAATTATAACGAATGGCAAACCAAATCACGTGCTCTCAGTCAGACACTAAAAGTTCTTTTTCGCTGTTGTTGTTTGCATACAGCACCAGAAGTAAACGTAACGAGCGTGTGTTTATGTAGTAAAATTCGAATAGAAATAAGGTGATTGTATGGAAAAAGAATAGTAAAAATGGGAGGAAAACGCTTAGCGTTTAGTAAAAATTGTTCATGGTTTAATTGTCTATTAAAAATAAACGTGGAAAATTGAAAAAAAACCAAAATGGTAAGCATTTCATTTGTCGTCATTTTCTCACTCTCGTCAATTTGATGCAAATGGACATTTAAATGCAATCTTTAACATTCAACCGTGTTTTGCTCGGCAAGTTCGCATCGATGAACGAGCACACGTTCACGCTTCTCTCACATTTGATTACATTTTATTCGTTACAAAACAAAAACATGGATAAATAATAATTAATTAGAAAATAATGATGATGATTTACTTTTGTAATTATAGAGATCATGAAACTCCAAGTTCTAGCGGCGATAATTTTTTTTTACGCTTCTGTTCTGTGCATATGATATGCGAAACGGTTTTGGTTTGTAGATGACGTTGATGTCAATCGATTATAGTGGTAATGGACCGTTTTTATTCACAAATTAATGGCCGACCTATCGAGTGGCATTACCATTCTTTTTTTCACTCTCTAACATGTTCAGCATATTGGCTTGATAGTTAGTTTTCTAGGCCAGACTAGTTGAAATACACTTTTCCAGCGGAAAAAAAGCATTAATGCAAAAAAGTGACTAATAATAGTTGTGCTGTGTCAATTGATTTCCCACAATTATAATCAAAAGCGACATAATCTGGGCAAAAAAATAAGCAGCGGCAAAGCCCAAACAAAGTCCATTCCACGAAATGAAAAGTGTACCATCTTTTAAAATGTTTAATATCGATGAATCAGGTGAGAGATGGGTGAAGCCCACATTTTTCATCAAATATCGATAACGATGGAAAAGAAAGAAAAGAGAAAGAGAGAAAGAGATGAGAAATCCAATTAGGATTTTAACCTTGATTGTAATCAAATATGTGCTTTCAATCTCCGAAACTCGGAAGTTTCAAGAAGACCGCAATTCATAGGCGATAAGAAGTTATATTGGAATAAATGAAGCATCGATTCAAAAATTTGATATGGAGCTCTGATTCATTTTAACGATATACGCGTGAAAATATTAATTTAGTAGCCATACGTGATATACATGAATTCCACCAGCATTTTTCCTTACTGTATACGCATCATCGTCGTCATCGTCAACGGTGTGAAATAACAAAACAGTTTTCACGCAGCACCCAGTGCAAAAACTGATAAAATTAAATAATCTCAAAAGCATTGCCGTTCGATACGCGTAAACATGTGTATATGATATCATGTGAGCAAACAACATTTGAAGCAAATTAAATTGAATAGCAGCGGCAACAGCAGCAGGTGCAACGTCACATTGATGATACAATGGACAGCCTTCTCGTTTATTTCGTGTGCATTGTTTCGTCAAACCATCAATTGTTTTGTGTGATGCAAAGCATCGGATATATTAGATTTAGTCGTTGGCCAATGGCGAGACTTTTTGGGTTACGTTTTACACGAAATTATTATTTTATTAACCCGACATTGTGACGGGTTTTATTGTCTTTTCTCGTTGCGTGTGCATCATTTACTACATATTACCGATTAATAACATACATACATGCATTTCGTTTTGCATTTTTATTGTTGGCCATTGTGTTAACATCACCAGAATGATTTTATAATGAAAACGAATCGATTTTTGGTGTTCAGGATATTAAATTTAATAACATCGTTTGAGCGCGGCAACATTTGACATGGATCCATTTTTTTCGATCCTTAAAATTTCAAGTGCTAAAAACAACGGCTCTTTGTTTAACTTCACTGGTGGCAAACAAATGCACATGCATTCCGTTCGAACAATCACTTATTACATCTCTCTTTGTGGAAGGACGAAAACACTTCAGCACATCAAAATTATACACCAAAAAAAGTCGGTCGGCTAGATTTTAATGAAATATGAGTGGAATGATCAAAATATGCCGCGCATCGAAATGATCGGCATTGACACGAGATTGATATGATCGAGCAATAAAAGTGCCAAATAAAACGGCTTAGAACGAGAATATCACAGCAAGAAGTATATTGCCGTGAAGATGCCTAGATCAGTTCAAATGGATGCCATAAAATGGGATTGTAGACGACGGTGATCAACGCCTGAACGATGGCACGAGAAACGTTTAGAACTAAACCACATGCGGCAGCTGCATTTTATTGACCGATGTCGAAAAAAAAGTGCTATATTTTTATTGGTTCGAACTGCCCATCACCGCATCACTTTAGACACATCACACATCTATCGTTAATTTGATTCCGTCCTCTTCGAAAATTATTCGATTGCGGTGGTTGTTAAAACCGGTCGGTTCGTGCTAATTGCCTAGTTTTGAAATATACACTGCATGTTAAATGTTATCAGCTACGATCAAAGCTTCCCCAAAAAACAGAGAGAAGAACAAGAAATATCTGATGTGTTATCAAAGACATTTACGTTTTAAAAAAATGAAAATTACACCAATGACGACATGCTGTGTAATAGATGAATCTATTTTGGTGTTGAAGATG